TTTTATTTTTTTTCAACCCATACCAGATTCCATTTTCAGTACTCATCGAGAACATACTTTTGGACACTCGAAGGAAGGCCATCATTTCTTTGTCAATGGAAAAACATCAGCACATGGAGGAAGCAGAATAAGAGAAAATCTGTTCTCAATTGGCAGAATTATGAATATAGCCCTTTTCAGTGTAGTAGCATGAAAATGCTTCGAATCTACAAATTCTGGCTCTACATTGAATAAAGTACTATGATATTCCAGTCCAAACATTAATAGGAGCAAGTGCCATGTGCTCATAGTAGAAATAAGAATACCCAATAGCATCTTCTGGAAGTGTTCTTTGAGTTATCTGATCTGGTTTGGTATGAACCCCAAAAACCAATCATTGGGTTTGAAAGATAAATGTGCTCATAGTAGAAATAAGAGGACCCAATAGCATCTTCTGGAAGTGTTCTTTGAGTTATCTGATCTGGTTTGGTATGAACCCCAAAAACCAATCATTGGATTTGAAAGATAAATGTGCTCATAGTATAAATAAGAAGACCCAATAGCATCTTCTGGAAGTGTTCTTTGAGTTATCTGATCTGGTTTGGTAGGAACCACAGAACCAATCATTGGATTTGAAAGATAAATGTGCTCATAGTAGAAATAAGAATACCCAATAGCATCTTCTGGAAGTGTTCTTTGAGTTATCTGATATGGTTTGGTAGGAACCACAGAACCAATCATTGGAATTAAAAGATGAACTACATGATCGTCTTCATTAAGAAGCTTCTTTTCAAGCTTCTTCTGCTTATTCCTTTCCCAAAAATCATAACCCAAGTTTCGCCTTTTCTTGTAATTGGGATCATTGCATAATGGCTTCCTATCTTTTACCGGAAGAAGTGCGTCAGCAACCTTAGCCATTTGAGCAGCACATATAAAATTTGTCAATTTTGCAATTGGTGAATCTGAACCACATCTCTTCATGGCTATTGAAGTCTCAGCCTTTGAGAATCCCATTTCTTTTCAAGTATAACAGTTTACTCTCCTCATCAGAATCAGAATTCAAGATTTTCTCGGTATTAAAAGTACTATCGATATATGCGAAATCATCTTGAAAGATCACTTCATAATCAGATGAGTTGTTATCAGAATCAACATGTTGCATGAATGCAAGCTTTTCAAGAGCATATACTATTGAGTTTTATTCTCAAGAGATTTTGTGACATTATATCTACATCTACATTTGTCAAAGATGATAGATTCTCTGCTTTGAAGAAGAAAGATTTATTGGGTTTCTATATAACTGAAGAAATACTCAGTTCACCAATCTGAAATCAAATAACTTAACATTCATGCATCATATTTAGGCATTTGCAAAAATATGTGCATTTTCATTCATTTTCATCCATGTTGAATTTTAACAGGAATTTCAAAGATTTTAGCAAAGATTAAAATCCATCATTCAATGGATCAACATTTCCAGTTCGAGTTCATAATGAGAAGAACTCATCTAAAGAAGGAAGGGAAAGTTCATAATGAGAAGAACTTGTTCAACTTTTTGTTTGAATTCATCATTTGATGGATCAACATTGCCAGGGAAAGTTCATAATGAGAAGAACTCATCTGAAGAAGGAAGAAGAAGTTCATAATGAGAAGAACTTGTTCAACTTTTTGTTCAAAACCATCACTTGTTGGATCAGCTTTTCCAGAGAAAGTTCATAATGAGAAGAACTCATCTGAAAAAGAAGAAGTTCATAATGAGAAGAACTCATCTGAAAGAAGAAATTCATAATGAGAAGAATTTGTTCAACTTTTTGTTCAAAACCATCACTTGATGGATCAGCTTTTCCAGAGAAAGTTCATAATGAGAAGAACTCATCTGAAGAAGAAGAAGTTCATAATGAGAAGAACTCATCTGAAAGAAGAAATTCATAATGAGAAGAATTTGTTCAACCTTTTGTTCAAATCCATCACTTGATAGATCAGCTTTTCTAGAGAAAGTTCATAATGAGAAGAGCTCATCTGAAGAAGAAGAAGTTCATAATGAGAAGAACTCATCTGAAGAAGAAGAAGTTCATAATAAGAAGAACTCATCTGAAGAAGAAGAAGTTCACAATGAGAAGAGCTTGTTCAACCTTTTGCATAATTCTATCACAGAAGCAGATAGATTAGCATCAACCTTTCTAGAGAAAGTTCATAATGAGAAGAACTCATCTGAAAAAGAAAGAAGAAGTTCATAATGAGAAGAGCTTATTCAACCTTTTGAATGACTCTATCACAGAAGGAAATAGGTCAACATCATCCCCAGTGGAAAGTTCATAATGAGAAGAACTCATCTGAAGAAAGAGAAGAATTTATTCAACATTTCCATATTAATCAAGTGAAGTCAAATGAAAAAACTTATTATCTTTTCGTCTTTGCTCTATTCTTATTAACACAAGAATAAGCAAAGAGGGGCAGCTGAAGATACTCATTTTTTCATTTAAATATTATTTATATTATTATTATTATTATAATAATAATTATTATTATTATTTTATAATTAATAAATATTATTACAGGCCCAAATTACAAACCAGACCGGAGGCCCAATTACAACCTATACTGGCCCAGACCCAACTTGGTCCAGGCCTACCCTAAACTGATTAGAGTTTCATCATTTTCAGCCGCCATCATCAATTTCAGCCGTTGGATCTGGTTTGATCAAACGGTCCACAGTTTGCCAGAGGAAACCCTAGGGTATCATCACCCTAGGGACACGTCGTTGCTTCCCTTACTGTTGACATCCCGCCGCCTCAGGAAGCTGCTGCCACCGCTTCAACAGAACGCTCCAGAAGATCCAGCTGCCCCCCCACACGTCGTGGCTATGGGGTGAGTCACCACATAGCTCGGTGACTCACCGAACTCCACCCTTAGGACCGGTCCGAGACAAGCGCCAGTGATGGCTATAAAGCCATCACCCAACCTGCAAAGAAAGAACAACAACCAGCAAAAACAGAGAAGAAAAAAAAAAGGACAGAAAGCAAATCACTAAAACAGCAAGGAAAGGAACAAGAGAAACTTACCGTGGAAGACAAAGCCTTGATCGGAGTCACCACCGGCCTCCAAACGTCACCAAAAACCTTCGAAAACCGAAGGTATTTTCTTAGATTTGCTCCGAACGGGAGCTATTTAAAAGAAAGGATCACCGGAACAGTCATTAGGACGGTCCGATCTACATTGTGGTGTAAAAATATTTTTTTCCGGCCATCGGATGCGGTGGGAATTACGGCGACAGACGGCTGCCACCCGGTAGCCGGCTTCCCTCCGATGAGGGAAGTTAGAGAGAGGGGAGAGCATTATCATTCTCTCTCAGTTAGAGAGAGAATGATAAATTGAAATGAGAGAGCTGGCCCGAAGGGCCAGCCGTTTCGGGCTTTAAATAGCCCTTCCCGAACGACGTCGTTTTGGGGAGGGCTATTTGTGTAATTAACTAAGGGTTAAATCCCATCCGCAGTCCCTTAACTTGTAATTCCTACATTTTAGTCACTAAATCAAATTTATAATCCTTTTAATTTGGTCTCTAAATTTTATTTATTTATATTTTAGCCCTTAACCGTAATTATAAATATTTTAGATAAAATAAGTATTTAGTCCTTTAGTTTTAATAAATAATATTTTAATCCTAAGTATATATTTTTAATTTATTTTAATATGATATTCGAATTTTATATAATTTTATTTTAGTCACCAAATTAATAAATAAGGAAAATAGCATGTTTAATCCCTATAATTTTAAATAATTAATTATGAATTAGGCATTTAATTTTAATTTTATTATAATTTAGTCACTAATTTTAAATATTTTCATTTATTTTATTGCTTTTAAATATATAGTTCTAATTGTATTTTTTATTGTTTTAATTTTACTTGTTTATATATATATATTATTTTTTATTATTATTATATAGTCATATAAATATATATATATAATAAATAATAATTTATATTTTTTTCATAAATTATTTTTATCATATTTTAATATTTATTTATTTATAAGAAAATGGCAGTTTTAATACAACTGGATGTCCTATTCTGGTATTTTAAAATTAAATATTATAAAAAAAATTATAATTTAATTTAAATTATTATATTAATTTATTAATATCGAAGAAAAGAGCTGTCTTAAGGCACCTAGAAGTCATTTTCTGATATTTCTAAATAAATAAATATTTTATTTATAAATATATATAAATTATTTTTTTCTCATAATTATAATTTTGAAATAATAGAATTATAAATTAAATATATTTTGAATTTTTAAATTTCTAATAATAAGAGATAATTTATAATTAAAAGTACCAATTTTGGGCGTTGTAGGGGTGCTAAACCTTCCCTAAACGTAACCGATCACGAATTTTTTTTTTATTAAAAAGAACGAATTTTTGGTTAAAACGCAGATCAGTTTATCTTTTAATTGATGTTTTCTTAAAAACTCTTTTAAAAGATATTTTTTTAGGTATTCGACCTACCTGACCTAAAAGGCCGATGGCGACTCCCAAATTATTTTCAAAACCATTTATTTACATCACTTTTCCCGCCAAATAAAAAATTCGTGCCCGGACAAAAATCGGTTACGACAATATTAACTGTATATTAGTCTGCCTTTCGTGAGATAACCTCAATTTTCTGTCCAAACTAAAAAACCATAAATCGTTTAGAGCCGGGGAGATATTCTTCTATATCACCAATTCACCCAACCCTTCATCATGTTTACGTATGCATAAGAGGTTTCATTTATATTCAGTTTGGAGAAGCCGAATGTCAGACTAGATTCTATTAAGTAAGTATCTGTGGCATCTTCGGCTTTACTCATAAATATTCCAATAATAGATCTTTCACAATGAAATCTATCTTATATAGTATCTGTATGCAAGTACGAGGATTAGTTAGATAGTTGACCCTGTTAGTCTAGTAATAGTGCTTTTATTACTTAACTAGATCTAGACTCACCGCCAACACCTGACCCCTACCTTTCCACCGACATGGATCTACCACCTTCCTCCGCCCCTAAGCCACGACTGATGTGTAGCTACGGCGGCCGCATCATCTCACGTCCCCAAACCAAAACACTTTACTATTCCGGCGGTGAAAACCGCTTACTTACAATCCCCACCACCGACAACTACACCACCACATTTACACTTTCTTCCCTCACCACCCACCTCTCCACCTTTCTCCGCCTCACCATCCCATTTACTCTCAAATTCCAACTTCCAAATCACGACCTCGACTTGCTCATTTCCGTCTCGACCGACGATGATCTCCAAATCGTGTTGGAAGAACACAAGAGAATCTCTTCTAGTTCCACCGCTGCATCTTTACATATCAGGCTGTTTCTTTTTCCAGTTGGCAATGGCGATAAAACTGAGTTGACTCATCCGAAACGGGAGAGCTGGTTTGTTGATGCTTTGAGGAGTGCTAGGGTGGGGTTTGGAGGTGTGGTGAACAAGCTGAGTCCATTCCTTTGGAAACTTCTTCTTCTTTTGGTTCTACTTCTTCGCTTTCCTTGTCTAGTTTGCCTCCAATCAAACCCTTTCGTGATTCAATACCAAGGTAATAAAAACAAATTTGTGTCTTCCTTTATACATGAGAAGAAAGGAGCTCCAGTGTGTAAATGTGCATTTAAAAAAAAGCCGTTGTTTTTCTCCATGGTTCTGTTTCCTTATTCTCTTAGAGGCAGCTAGTGGTCCAATTGTTCGGCTTTTTTTCCTGAAAAAAAGGGGCTACCTGTAAATGAAATTTTGTAGAGATTTTGACGATTTCTATTGTTTTGATTCGTTTTGGCTGATTATGGAATGAGCTCATTGGTTCTTAGATTGTTGGATAGAACGAGGTTAAACTTGAGAGTCAAATTTCTAACTTGCAAATTTCTGCTTGAAGTTGTGGGGATTGGAAGCAAATTTGATCAATTATAAGTTTAATTCAATAAAACTGAAACGGAGTGCTGGTTGCTTTAGATTGACCTTCTAAATTTAACTCCATATGTTTAAGATGAATGAATGGTTTCATAGTTTATTCTTCCTTTTGACTGTAATATTTTGTTTCATTCCAGCAGCGATGAATGTCTCGGGAATGCTGTTTCGAATGTGCAGGCTGGAACTTTTCAAGACCAAGTTGGTCACATTGCTTCAATGGAGAATAGGCTCTGTTCTAACACTTTTGAATCAGACAAGAAATTTGCTGATCCTTCTTCTGGGTTTGAGATGCATAAACCTATTCATGCTTATGGTTTTCCAGTAAATCTGATGCATCCACCTCAGCAGCAAACACAAGGAATTCATGAGGATACCCATTACGTACCGTCAAACATGCCTGGAACGCAGCCCGTTACGCCTTATTACACAGTCTATTATCCGGCGCCACAGCAGCAGCAGCCGCAATATCTCCATTATCAGACAAATCAGCCTTATCCAATGTATTATTCCCCTATCGCACGAACTAAGCCCTACAGTATACCTATGCAACATGGTATGGATCAAGCAACGAGTATCAGTGCTGATCAGCCCCAAGCTCTTCCAAATGCTCCATTGATCCCAACTCAAGTGGTTCTCAAGGAGGTTGCAGCAGTACCTCAACATGTAGCCGACTTAGCCTCACAGCAATACCCAAAACTTCCAGCAGGACACCAACATATTCATGTACCTCGTACCGAAACTGAAACGGCATTTGCAGGGGCTCAAATTCAGCACCAACCTCAATCATGCAGTGTTGCTGCTGGTGAAACCGCGAATCAAGCTAACAAAGCTGATGATGACCCTGCTCGAGTCCAAATGTACAAATCTCAGCCACCCCCACCGGTGTGGCCTTCGCAATATCAAACAATGACCAAAGCCACGACATTGCTTTTGTCCGAGGCTATGGCAAAGTTGCATACAGACAATGCTGACCAGAAACGATTTTGGTAGTGGTGTCTTGCTAACTTATTTCCTGTGTTCCACGTTCTCTTTATTTGTTGTTCTTTGATGTTCTGGAAATTACAGTATTCCAAACAACGTGTTGTATGATTGAACTGTCTCTTCTGATGTCCTCAAGCATCCCTCTTTTAGGGAAATAGAACATTTGTTTATATAATCGTGCTAATAGCTTTTGTCTCTATCATTATTTGCAATGTCGGGCGTAGACTGGTGGGTTTTATTACATGTCTTGGTGCGAATGGTTACCTTGCTATTGAGGTGCATGTGGTGGAAATGAGATTGTAATCATGTGCTTACATGAGATTTTGTAATAAATTAAACACCATAATAACAAGGAAAAAATTATTAAGATTTAATATAAAAGATATATTTCAGACAAAAAAAGGGGTGGGAAAATCCACTATCATGCCCATCCATTAGCAAGTATAGTATGTGAAGGCTCCAAAATTTGGGGCCCCATGCTATGAGAAAAAAAATTGCTAACCTAGAAAAAAAAGTTTCCTTTTACAAAATAAAAAAAAAATCTAATTTTCTCCTTTACTATCTCTAGAATTCAATTGTAATAAATTCTTCCTAAAAAATTCACTAAATTTATGGTGTTTAATGAACATTTTCATTCTATTTTCAATCTTATTAATTTTTGATATTTTACAATTTCACTTTATTTTAAAATAATTTAGGAGTCTCGTTTTAAAAAATAACACAGAGCCTACATTTCTTTTGGGACGGACATGTTCACTATATCAGAGAAGAGTACAAAAAGATTTGAGTAAATACAAAAAGATATATGTACAAACTGATTGATATCAGTGGTAAAGGAATTGTTGTTATTCTTTGAGATCTATGGTTCAAGCACCAAGATTACTAGGGGTGTAAGCGTTCAATGCCAAATGATTGAGAGTTATCTTTAAACAGATATCGCCTTGTATTATCCCATATTAATAAAAAATACAAAAAGATTTGAGCAAATACAATTTTGATGTAATCAACGTTACATATTACATAATTCAACTTACATAATCGTCTCTTCTTGAACAACTCTCTGTAGCTGAGGAGACATTAACAAAATATATTTATTCTGCTAAAGTTCATAGTAAGTGATGAGTCCAAAGTTCATAGTAAGTGATGAATCCATTCTTCTAAGAGAAGTGAAATGGATATTTTATATGTATGAAGGTCTCTCTCTGATCCAGTTGATGTGTAAAACTTATTATAAACTCCCCTTGGATTTATGAATTCAATTTCTCGAAGCTACAAGGCACAAACCTCATTAAAGGTCTCCTGTAGGGGCTCTTTTGGGTGCAGGCCGAAGCAAGCTTGTGTACGGCAGTTATATTGTTGTTGATGGTAACATTTGAAATTATTATAAGTGGTTCATCTCCTTTGATTTAAGCTGAGAGCCACAGTTGATGATTCACAATCCAAAGAATTTCCTTAGTCTTCAGCCGACATCTCCAAAACTATGTTCCTATATTCTCTATCTTAACAAGTCAGTAACTCTCTTTTGTTTCATATTCAACGTTGCCAAATCTATATAACAATATAGAATAGTTATTCTTTGTCATGGACAATCTGCATTCATTTACATCACAGGTTCAAAGAAAGAAACTACCTACAATTACATTTGTAAATGCTAGCTAAGCAATGGCGATAAGTAAACTTGGAAACATAACAAGCTTAAGCATCTTTATCAACTTTCTTACCGGTGAAGATCTTGGCCAAATTCGGCATCACTTTTCTTTCTTCTTAATGTTGAACGGGGTCAATCCACCCACCCGTGTCACTGGCGACGACGATCTTCGGGACCTTGATCTTCCTAATGGTGTCAAGTTGCCATTGCTTTTCATTGATCTTCTATCGTATGGTGATTGCTTGTTTTGGCCTTCAACATTTTGCCATTTTGCTTGTTTTGGCCTTCAACATTTTGCCATTTTCAGTATTTCCCTTTCACTAGCCTTGAGAGCTTCAGTCCATGCCTCTGCGGCAGCAACTTTCATATCAGCAATCTCTTCGGCTCCAACTGCACGACCGGTTAAGTAATCGTACTCGAATTTAGATATGGTAATTTTGGAGCTCTGATTAGATGCCGAAGCTCTAGATTGCATTGTGGTCTCTATGAGAGATCGCAACTTCTCTAGAGCTGATGTCTCTGCTAACTTGACTGCTTCAAGTTCCTCCACAGCTGCCTGCAGTTTTCCCTCGGTAGAGTCTACTTCGAACTCGATTTTACGGATTTCTTCTTCGATTTTCGTTATGTCTTCGGTTATAAGAGCCTTTTCTTTCTTTGATGCTTCAGCTTCAGTTCTTAACTGTTCAAGTGTCAGGGAAAGATCGATCACAATTGATTTAGCCTTTCCTTCAGCTGCTGTCACTGCTTCCAACTTCGATTTGGCTCTTAAGAGCTTTGAGTTGAGGCTTTTAACTCTCAAATCTGTCTTTTCTTCTGTTTTCTTCAAGTTTTCTGTTTCTTCAGTAACAGGTTTCAGCTCATTTCGGATAACATCCATCGATGACATATACCTAAAACCCTCTTCTCGAATCGAAGCCAATTCGTTCTTAGCTTCCAGCAACTCCTTGTTGATTGACTCTGATGAATGTTTTTGATCCTTTACTTGCTTGAGTTCATCTTGTAAGAGATTAATATCAGACAAAGTGACATTCACTCTTTGTTCCAACTCTTCGGTCTAATTGATCTCTTCGATCATGTTATCCATCTTCTTCTTGATTTCCCCCATCGTATACGAAAATTCACCAGCTTCTTTCTCTTTTTGAGCTTCGATATCTGCAGCTTCTTTCAATGCCTCGATCCTGGCCAGTTCAACCAGAACATGTTCCTCGTTAGCCGCCTCAATTTCTTTCCTGAGCTCTTCGATATACCTACCATTAGAAATCATTTTCGAGCTTGAATCTTCAAACTCCTCTACTGCTCTAGCTTTCTCTGCCACTATAGATACCATTTCAAGCTTAAGTTCACTGAGTTCATGTTTCACCACTTCCAGTTCTTTCATAACTTCAGCATACCGATAACTTTTGAGACTCGTAAAAACCGATGCCTTGTCTTCGAGTTT